TAACCTTTGCTGTCTTCTGGTTCATTCTTTTACTAATTAGATTTCTAGTTCCCTAGGGCTCTTGAATAAATGCACGTTTGGAACGAAAGATGCAACCTGAAGAATACTGGTTTTATTTTTCTGAATGGGAAACTCAACCAGTTATGTGCACGCTAAGCAGTTATTCAAACTCTTCTAATGGTAATTAAATTGTAAATGATGAAGATATGTCTAAAATATGTAGAGAATTTGATGAAATCAAGTGGAAGAAACAAGAATCTAAACATACTGGTTGTTTGTCACCAGCATAGATGGTGCACCACTGGTGAATCGTTTAAATGAAGTGTTCAGAATGTCTTCATTACAACTCATTCACACATTGAGTTAGCCTGACTCCAAATTCAGCTTGTTAATATAACCAAATGTATATGCTAAAATTCTGTTTCATTGCACCAACATTTGGTTTAGTCTTCTGTGACAACTAATCTCTACACTGATTACCAGTAAACTACAGAATATATTTCAAAGTTCTTCTATGAATTTATAAATCACTCAATAGTATGGGGCCAGAGACATGTCGGTTCTCCTTCCTGTATGCCCAGCGTATCAAAGCACAAAAGAGGACTCAAATGCAGAGCTCACACAGTTTAATAAGCTGAAGGGATTCCTGGCAGTACAGCACAACTGAACAAGTCCAAAACTAACTGAATACACTCTCACTAAGTGTTACTGAGAGCAGGTTCACTTTACTCAACTGAAGAAGGCAAACTGGCAAAGGAATCTTCTTCTTCTTCTTCTGGTGTTTTATTGGCGGTTGGCAAACAACGAATGGTGCATTACCGCCACCGACTAGTGTGGAGTGTGGTCTGGAACAGCGCTCATAAAACAAAATCAAACAGGGGAAAGAAAGAAAAAAAACATATATGTATACACAAACATAAACACACATACATACACATATATATACAAATACATATATGGCAAAGGAATCTGTTTGCAAAGAAGCATAAATGGAGAAGCCAGGACACAGGTGCAAGACATAAGGCTGATTAGTGAGGAGCCTCAGGTCGTGAAGCTGCCTGTAATGAGACAGGAAGTGAATATACAAAATAAAACAGAAAGTACCAGAAATACAATAAAACCAGAAACATGACTGCAAAACACTCAACCTACAGAACCACCCATGATACAGCGGGACTCTGAGATCATTAGGAAGCAGTCAGCTGCTAGAACCACAGCTCAGAACCAAACAGGGTGAAGTTGCTTTTAGCTACTATGCTGCACAGAGATTAATCAGTTTCCGTATGACCTCAAATGTGCCCCATCTTTAGTAATGTTTAAATCAAAATTGAAAACCTTCATGTGTTGGAGTGACTTATGCAAAACACAGTTCTTAACTGTCTGGAGGAGAAGATTTGGATTTTCTGTAATGATTTACGACAAAAGTCCTTAACAAAATGAAAAACTGAACCTAGTTCATATTTATATAGATGGTCAAATGCAGTTATACTGTATTTCTAGAATTTTAATGCCGAGTCTGGCCAATACCGTTAAATATTCTACCTAAAACTGTCAGTCTTGCGCCATCTTCAGGTAAAAACTGCACTGCATTTGAATTTTAATCTGCTTTCTCTATTTGCTAAGAGGTACACTATGACGTTAGCTGGTACATTGTGATGTCACAATGTTGTTGTGAGCCTGTGTGTGTATTTGTTAGCGGCTCCGGCCTCTCAGTCTGCCTGACAACAGCATTTGTTGCATTTTTCAAACCGGAAGTGGGAGTGGAGTAAGACTCTGGTAGGGGGTGACTTGCTCTTTAATTTTCTTTTAAATTTTTAAATCTAAATTTAATTTGTGTTTTTTAATTGTGCTGTCACATTGATTTTGATGTCTTTGCTGTTGTTGCTAATTGGAAAGCACACTGAATTGCTTCTGTGTGTATGAACTGTGTAATATAAATAAAGCTGCATTGCCTTGCCTATTCCCAACGCTTTCTGTGGATTTTGTGATATGTGTTCGGGCCTTTCCGTGAAGTTATCCATTTCCTGTAACATCTTATGGAAAAAAAATCTTCTCAACCTACAACATTTTATTAAATCTGACAGTAATCAAGACTTCTCTCAATTCTATTCAAGAGGACCACTATCAATGACAGAAAAATTGATAAACAAAATGACATCAGTGCTTTTTTATTTGGTTCATGCTTTCTTTATTGTTTGCTGATGATGATGTGTTCTTTCTATGATTCTTTTCTATGGCTCTAGGCTTTGGAGCAGCAGCTCTGAAACAGTTTGTAAAAAACTCAGAGACAAGTGATGCCAAAAGGCAGAAATAGAAGGTAGTCGAGGCTCACGCACAAAGGGAGAAACTCACCTGGCAGGTTTTTCCATCTATGCATGCATTCCCTCCCCTCATTCTTGCCTGGTAACAATGTTTGAACACTGATTCATTTTCTTGCATATGGAACAGCCTGTGCCCCGAGCACAATTTCAGTCAGGCCACCTGTGTTCTTCCCTAGAGCTCATCCCCCTAACATACTGCTGACCCATTTCAAGGGTCAGCGAGCACTCTATGTGCCTAACATGTTTTGATTTAACACCATACATATGGATAAACACCTTTCTACTGTGTCACTTTGACAAGAAGTGTTTACCAAAGCTCAAATTTCAGCCTGAATCCCCCCAGTACGCTGTACGGAGTACTGTTGTTAGGTTATTTCTGTTGCAGGAGACACGTGGGAGTAGCCCGTGCTTACCGGCAGCAGCTGGGGGTGGGGAGGACATCAGCTGTCCAGCCTCGCTGCAGGGACCTGTCTGGTGCAACAGTTTGGTTTGGGGTGTAACATAAAACTAGTCAGTTTTTTTAACCTCTATGGATGAAAGAGTCACAGAAAGGAAACAACTAAATACATTAACTTCTGCAAATGAGAGTTTAAAACGCAAACACGTCCTTCTGTAATATTTCCATTACATGTTACATCAACTGAATTTTTGATTTAAGGTATCAAACACTGCAAAAATATTTTTTTAATCTTAATTCTGATTGTTATTGGTCGCTAAGTTTTTCATGAAAGCTGAGCAGAACAAGTCTCCTACACCTATCTCCTGCATTAGCTTCTGATAGAAATTAGACGGTGAAACTCTAGGATTCGAAAAGTCTGACTTATCTACGTCACACAATCACTTAACATTCATGGACTCTCCCATCTTCACTCGCAAAGGGGAAGGCTGTTGTTGGATTGGCGTCCAGGAAACAGCAGGAACATTTTGGCTAGTACAAGCTAACCATTAGCATTAGCAACTTCACCACACTGCAGAACACCTCCAAACTTGTGTTATTTGTGGAGATGAAACATCAGTGTTGCAAGTCAGTGGTCGCGTTGCTGTTACCCAATCTGGGGCAAGATGTCCAAATATCAGGAAATAAGACTCCAAGGGTGTTCAATGTCAAGGCGCCTGGTCTTGCCAGGAGATGTCTTGCGAGGCCAGGTGCCTTACTTGCGAGGACACTGTCCTTCCTTGGTCAAAGAAAGCGGTTAAATGGAACAGACTTGCATCATGTGACCGAGGCTTCCATGGCGGTCACGTAACAGCACGCGACACGGGATATAACATTATATTTTATATGTATTTGTTTCAATATAAATATATAACGAGCCTTTTACTTTTTAAATTGTGTATATATTTGTTAAGTTTAATATTTAAGAGAGTTTCTACCCGCTAGCCACCGAAGCTGCAACTTATAAGCAACAATAGATAACTTCTTTGGATCTAAAAAAACATTTTAAATTAGTTGACTTACTTTTAAACTTGAAATTTGCCCCCGAAGTAGCTGCCGACTTTTGATCCGCCATCCTTTTCAAAATACTGCTGTGTATTGTGGGTAATTTTTGACCAAGGCTAGGCTACAAGACACCTCTTGCTCAGCTAGCTAAACGGCTAACAAGCGGAGAACACACGCCTCGGTAGAACATGAACATTGGAACACGTCTTGGTGGCTCCTGATGACGTATCTCCTAGGCAACCGAGGCAGGGCAAGGCATCAAGGCGAGGTTCCTTGGCACTGAGAAACACCCCAAACCTTTCCATCTGAAGCTCAGCTGTGATGTGGCTCAGAAGAAGAAGAAAATATCATTTCTATAGCGCCTCTCTAGATAAAAATCACGAGGCGCTTCACAAAAACAAAAAATATAAAAATTGTAAAGATATAAAAAAGCATTTTAAAAAAGCTCACTTCTAGTTTCTGGTGCGCCGGTGTTTTTTCTCCCCTTTCCGAGAAATACTTACAAAGCATTCATTCCTACTAGAGACCACTACAAATGTATTGATTAAATGAGTGTTCCACATTTTTAAAGGAGCCACAATTGTAGTGTGTACAAGTGACCTTAGACATATTTCTGAGACTTTTCTAAAACCCTTTAAAGGTTTTTATTTGTGCTTTAGTAGTGCCTGCAGTAGAATATTTACTTTTCATGAGCCTGGGAGTTTTGCTCATGATCTAAACAAATCTTGTGGTCATTGATGAGATTTGAAACCTGGATGGAGCAGGAAATAGGAAGTCCAGGACCCAGGACAGACTGGATCAAACCCCTCATTATTGCAGAAGTCCTGGTTCATTGGTCCACCTCTTGCTTCTTCTGAACAGTACATCCTGAAAATTCTCGAGCATTAATATAAAACCTATTGCCATGCCACCATGAATTAGACAAAACGTGGTTTAAAGTGTGCCTTCTCACCTGCAGCCCTACGTGACTGTTTCTTCAGAGCAAAACCATAACAGGGATCTGATCTTGATGACATTAGATAACTTCTATCTGAACTTTCTAAGTTCACAGGTGAACTTTTTTTTTCAAACCTTGAGAACTGCCCTGTGTGCAGCATCGTGTGCAGCCGGCATCTTTTTTTTTTCTGTGTGTGACCACGCCCTCCCAAAGCCATCCTCGGCCTCTGATTGGCTGATCAGAGGCCGGAACAGTGGGCCGATGACTCTCTGGATGAATATTCATGCAAATTCTTCACACCTACGCCCATCAGCGGTTTTGCTCATCAGAACAGAATGTGAGAAATGCTGGAGTCTCTCACCGGAAGAGAAATCAAAGAACAGACTCCAGTTTCTGCTCGGTGAGTAGAAAACTTTGCGATGTTAAACTGTGTTTTTGCCCTGCAGCTACCCGCTGGCGGTCTCTCCTCATCCAGAAAACGTCCCAGATCTTTGTGCTCATCTGTTCCTATCTGTGTGTCACTTCAGGTCATTTGTGTCCGGTTACACTTGCCGAAACTCGCTAAACAAGTTTCTGGAACCCCGCCTTTGCCGCTCGCTCCACCTGTAGCCCTGTACGTATATAAGGAAGTCAGCACCGCAGTCAAGGGAAGCAACACCAACGAAGACGCACTTCTTTCAACTCAACAAGAACTGAGAGAAAGAAACTAAAAGCAAAATGATGATGCAGCTCCCAGAGACCCCCAACCAGAAGAACTCCCTCTTCAACGCCATGAACCGCTTCATCGGCGCGGTAAACAACATGGACCAGACCATCATGGTTCCCAGCCTGCTACGGGACGTCCCGCTAGACGAGGACAAAGAGGTAGCCTCTCTGAAGTCGGACATGGACGAGGGGGACATGTACAGCTACTACCAGCTGCTCAAGTCCATCCGCACGGACATCGAGTGGGGGGTCCGGTGCGCATCGGTGGACGAGGGGCGCACGCGCTCAAGCTCTTCCGCGTCCACCTCATCCACCGCGTCTTCCGCTTCATCACTGTCATTCGAGGAAGAGGAAGAGGAGGACGACGAGGACTTGGAGAAGCAGTTTCAGTTCCACCTGACTGGGCTGCAGGGAGTGCTGTCCAAACTCACGCAGCAGGCCAACTCCCTAACCAAACGCTACAAGAAGGAGATTGGCATCGGAGGATGGGGCCAGTGAAAACGCACAGAAGCTGGGTTTCCCTCCCACTGACTTGAGCCTTTTTCTACTCCTTCAGCCGTGTCTGTGCTGTTGCTGCTGATGATATTCATGAGCAATTATTTAAGTGGCAGTGAACAACAGCTCCATCTCAGGCCTGCACGGTGTGTTGGTGTCACCACTGAACTTGTCGTTTGCACTCCCAACTTGTTTAGCATTCAGGTCCTGTCAGATAAAACTTATTTAAGCCTCTATTTAATGCTATTTATTACCTCACAATGTACGTTCAAGAGACTATAATGCCTCAGGAAAAGGAGAAGGTGTTCGATCCAGACGTTTGAGCCACCCCCATCTGAGGAGAGAGAGGGGGAATACTGACACAAGATTCTGCATCCTTTATTTGTGATGGTGATGATGTCGGTGTGTTCACATGGATTTGTCCCTCTGCTTCTTTTTATCTGAGGTGTTTTATTTTTGCTTGTAAGGAGGCAGATGCTCGTCGCATCCGTCGATGATCTCGTGTCCTACATGGTCAATGAACTGGAATAAACTCATCTTCTGCAAGGAGGACAGTGAGGATTTCCAGGAGATGATGTCTTTGTTGTTGTTGTCATTTAGCCTGCTTGGTATTATAGGTCCATCTGTCAAAACAAGAAATTACTTTAAAAAAATGCACTTTTTGCAGTGTTTTTTACTGATGTTTCTCCAATAAACTTTTATACAAATGTCCTTTTTGGTGTTGTCACTTTTTACACAGTTGTCATTTACTGATAAAACAGTGGAAGAACTATACTGTTTTAAATATAAGATCCAAGAGACTCCTGCTTTGCATAGCTGCTCCAACACCCCTTATTCAAAGACAAAATCACCTCAACACATCCTCTATCCTGTAAATCACCCATTGATTTAAACCAGGTGTGTAGTTGCAGGTAAACAAAAAATCATGCAATAGTGGTGTTTTGCAAAACATGAAAATCCAATGCATAACTGAAATAGAAGTAGTCAAATATATTTTGGGATTTGTTAGATGGATGTGAATTCCTCTGGTGTCAATTTTATCAAACTAAAACTGAAACAAATCAAAGATCTACACAGAAATGCTGCCAAACAAGTTGTGTTATCTGAAACATTTGTGTGAAACTTTCTGAACAAATTCAATGTGTTTCAAAAATGCTTTTGCAGGAAAAACATGTCAAATTGAAACATTTTTCCAAACTTGCTCTCAATCCTGGTCCCGGTTTCCATTATGTTTTAGTTTTAACCCTAGTTCAGCACACCTGATTTCAATCAGCAGGTGATTAACAGGCTTCTGCAGAGCCTGATGAGCTGCTGCTTAGGTGATTCAACCACTGAATCAAGTGTGTTAGAACAGAGGAACAACTAAAATGTAAAATGTGCTGGACACCGGCCCTCCAGGACCAGGATTGGGCACCCCTGTTAATTCAAAGTTTTGTGCAAATGACTGAGCAGTGCTGTTTCCTTTGTCATCACATAAGTGTGCAAAATACAAATGTTGACATGCATTTTCTTTCACTTCCACGTATATAAGAATACATCTGAGATTTGTAAACACTAAAAATAAGGAACTGATTGAGCAGTGGTCATTAAATTTGATGTACTGGTGCAAAAGAAAATATTTGAAATGCAAATGCTCTAAAATGTATAAAACATACTGATATTCATAACTAAACAAGATTCTCTCTATAGACTCTTAACAATTCAAACTTAAAAATGAAAAGAAAATATATGATGATTGGTTTCCAAAACATGACATATTTTTTTGTGTTTAAGAGATTTAATTTCTTAGTTAAATTATTTTTCAATGACAGTATGAATAACCAGATCAGTTTTAAAAATAAGTTTGGTTTCTATTTTTCCTAAAACAAGTTGCAGTGCATGGTGGTTCTAGAGCCAAAACAGCAACAGAATGACATCAGCTGTTTATTCTTTGGTTAAAAATCTTCTTAAATATCTCAATCCTGTTGTATTATCTGCATTTTGAGGAGAAAAGCAATCAGGATTTGCACATAACACCATCAATGTGTGAATCTAAGCTGATCCCAGTCACCAAACAATGCTGAGAAGAGTTGGATTGAGATGTCCCTGCAGGTTAAGGAATGCTGGTTGTCTGTTCAGTTTCAGGTTGAACCACAGAAACTACAGAAAATCCCAGTTTGTTTTCTATTATAAGAAGTGAAAGAGCATTTGTGAAAGATCTAGTAGCACTTTTTGCTTTCAGGTCTTGGATTGACAACACTCCATGTGTGGTTTGATTACAACTCAAAGTAAAAAAAAGTGTTAAAAAGAGGGAAAAAGATTAATTTCTGTGTCTGCAGATGTGTAGTGTTATGTAACGCCTCGCCATGAACAAAAGCAAAAAATAACGGATTTCATTCATTGTAGTCTGGCTGATTCATAGTGACATTGGGTGCAGCTGGGCTTTTACCAACACAATAAGCCAACAGAGTGCCACACACCCACTTTCACATTTCATTCTCTCTTTTTTTCCTTGCACACACGGAACTGAAAGACACTATCAATCTTATTCATGCAAAGTTTCCTTTGCAGTTACATTCCTTTTAGACGGACTACATTAGATGAGAGAATAAAAAGGCCACTTTATATAAATCTTAGTGTATCCCCATCATGGGCGCCTCCAGAAAATTTTGATAGGGGTGGCCAGACAGGGCCAAAGAAATTTTTGGGGTGGCACACCAAATTGGTCCTTGTGGTAACTCTGGGAGAGTTTAGCCTGTGGCGATGTGTTGCATTGCTCCTTTATTTGTTTTTATTTTAAAAATAACAGTATCCAAAACATTTAAAGAGCGAGTCACCCCTAACAGATTCTTACCCAACTCCCACTTCCTGTTTGAAAAATGCTGTTGCCTAGCAGACCGAGAAGGCTGAGATAACAAATACACACACACACAGGCTCACAACGACACTGTGACATCATATGGTACCAGCTAACGTTCTAGGGTACCTCTTAGCCAATAGCAATGGCAGATTTAAATTCAAATGCAGTGCAGAGTTTTTACCTGACAATGGCACAACACTGACAGTTTTAGGCAGAAAATTAAAATTTTAACTAAAATTCACTAAAGTGCAAAACTATTGACTACACGTGTTTGCAGCATGATTAGACAAGCATTTAAAGTTGATTTGGGGGTGACTTGCTCTTTAACTTTAATTTTATAAACGCAAACATTTCAGTAAAATAAATTTTAGTTATTTAAAATGTTGTTTATTTTTTTAATGTAATTGTTTTAGTTTAATTCATTTTTTCAATGGTGAGCAGCAGAAACATTTGTATTTTATTTTTATTCAGCTCATTTATTTGCTCATTTATTGTATCATTTTTATGTTTTGAATAAATAAGATCAATTTATTAGATTGATTAGAAGATCAATTTATGGTTTGAGTGAACATTAACATAATTTATTAACACTGGCTTTTGCTGGGGAGGCCAGCAATTTTCTAGGGGTGGCCATGGCCACCCCTTGGGGGCGCCATTAATCTCCGTGGATATTTGACACTCACGATTATAGTAAATTTTATAAAGCTACCGAATGCTAAAGCTAGCCGTTAATTAAGTCCTGGCTTTCTAGGGTCCTGACATTCTGAAACATTTTTAAAGAGCACGTCACCCCCAAATCAACTTTTTTTTTGTTGATAAATTATATAAATCGCTCTGTAGACACATGCAGTCAATAATTTGGCACTTTAGTTAATCTTAGTTAAAATTTAAATAATCTGCCTAAAACTGTCAGTATTGCGCTGTCGTCAGGTAAAAACTGCACTGCATTTTAATTTAAATCTGCCATTGCTATTGGCTAAGAGGTACACTATGACATTAGCTGGTACATTATGATGTCACAATGCTGTTGTGAGCCTGTGTATGTGTGCATATGTTAGCAGCTCCACCCTCTTGGTCTTCTATGTTAGCAGCTCCACCCTCTTGGTCTTCTATGTTAGCAGCTCCACCCTCTTGGTCTTCCAGGCAACAGCATTTGTTGCATTTTTCAAACATGAAGTGAGAGTGGAATAAGACTCTGATAGGGGGTGACTTGCTCTTTAAAAATGGCCTTGAGCAACAATTCTCCAGATATTTTAAGATTTTCTTTTGAAGCATTGGTGTCTTTTGACTCATAAAATTCACATTTATCAGACCTGACGAAATAACACAAGTGGACGATGAAAAGAAAAGGTGGCAAGCCAAAAGAATCCCAAAACGATCAACGGCTTCTGAAGGATTCAGTTTAGATGAGAAACAAGACCGTAAGCCTAAACCTTCAGCTGCTATATCTTCAAAAATTTCATTGAATAGACCTTTGAGATAAACTTTTTAATGAAAAACAAACAAAAAGTCATTAAAAAATTCCCTAACTTTTGGGATTGTCAAACTTTACCTTTTATTTTCAAAAAGGTTACAAAAAATCAGAAAGATGTATAGTTTTGCACACAGTAAAAATGCTTGTAAACATTTTTTTGTAAAACTATTTGTATGATAGACTTCAGTAAGGATTGTTTTTCCATATTTTAGTTCTGTAGACGGATGAGATCTAGAAAACAACAGCTAATATGAAAATGGTCAAGACTTTGAAGACTGAAAATTAGAGAAAATCTCCCTTCTTTTGATGGAAAGCATGAAAAAGAAAGTGTGATATTTGCATGTGAGACCATGTGATCTGATAATTTAGATGGAAAAAATATAAACTACAATGAATTAAAATTATATTAAAAACTATTTAGATTACAGTTACATTTGTGTGTGTGTGTGTGTGTGTGTGTGTGTGTGTGTGTGTTTCTGCAATAATTGCAACTGTGACATAGTGGAAGTGTGTTTCGTAAAATAATATGTGCTGTATTTTTAGTTCCAGAAATGTCAGAATAAGGCTTTTCGGTACATTTTGTATTACTTTAATAATTTTTATCATTACGTAATGGGCTGATAAAAATGAAATAAAACGTTCAAACTGAATCCTTCTATGGAGAAATCCATGTGCTCCATCTCAATGGGTTGGCGAAACTGCCCCCTTTTGTCCCTTTGCGCATACCGTAGAAACAGGAAATGCAAGCAAAGCTAATCCAAAAAGAACTAATTTAATAAAAATGTTTACCTGAAAGTGCCTTAAAATGGAAAGTCAGACTTCAGCGCCCACGAATAACGTATCACGCTGCGTATTTTTTAACACCGACTCAGAAGACAGTCGTTGCGTAAGTATCATTGCTTTGTAGCAAAGTAGCTATTAAGCTACATAACGTTTTTTAGCTGAATTAAACACACTACCCCATTTTTATTTGTTTGGTGAACTGGCTAGTTTATGAATTAAGCTTAGACTCAATAACATGTTTAAGTGATTACAGAAGGACTCAGCTGAGCGTCATTTTAACATCCGTATTCTATCGTCAGTTATTCCTATTTTAATTACAATAGCTTGTTTTTGCTCACATCAAATCCATAAAAAAATCCAGAAGCGCATGGACTAACTCACTTTAAAACAGCAGGTCTTTATTTCAACACAAAACGAGATGGCTCAAATGAAGTCAGCGTTATTATTGTATCATGTTTGTAAAGATAATGTTTAAAATTTATTTTACATCATTCCAATTAACTTCTTCAATTTAATGAACCGTAAGATTACATTTTTATAATAAAAGCTAATGAAGTGGTGGGTCACTTCCTGCTAACTTAATCTGTTTTAGAATATAACTTTGTTAACTTTCAATTTAAAATTAAACAGTTTCTGCATATAATGTGTAAAGTAATTTACTATAAGTAATAGAAAAAGCACAACATTAGAGCAAACGATTAAAAAAATGTTATAAAGTGAACAAAATACTTGTTTGTTTTCTCATTATGCAGCGACAATAAAGTTGCAAAGTTGTTAGTCAAAGTGTCACAGACTAAAAAATATTTAGAAACTGCAATTGGGGCAGTTTAGCTTACCAGTGCTTGTCACTGCTTTATTAGTTAGAAAAGATCAACTGGTTTCAGCTCTCATTTGGAAATCTATATATTACTTTTTAAATTTGATGTTGATAAAAGCCAATAGTGGGCTATTTAAGTGCTTCTAGCTAGTTCTGGTTCCAGTGCATGATTAGACATGTAATTATTAAACTTAATCCAAAGTCTTCAGCAAAACTGTATTTTAATAACAGTTTAACCACGACAACTATGATTATTAATTTAAAAAACTGAATGGTAATTTACCTGCACTTGTATAGCGCCTTTCTGAGGACTCCAAAGTGCTTTATACTACAGTGAATCATTCATCCATTCACACACACATTCACACACTGGTGATGATGAGCTTCATTGTAACCACAGCTGCCTTGGGGTACAATGACTGAGACAAACCTGTTGTACACAGGCACCACCAGTCCTTCTGACCACCACAATCATCATAATCCTTTCAAAATAAAATAACAAAATGTTACTTTTGCTCTGATGGTAGAGATCTAATTTTGTTTTTCTTTATGCCAAACATTCAAATTATTTTTAGTAATTTTATTATTCTTATATTATTGTTGTTGTTTAGTTCTTATTATATTCATTTGCTTTGCAGTTTGCACATTTAAGATATAACCTTTAATGTTTGCATTGAAATGATGAATCTCTGATACCCCTTGAACGAGGAACGCATAAGTGCTTAAACAGTATTTCTTATGTAGTTTTTATTCAGCAATTTGTAGAAATAAGCAGGTTAAGTTGGAGGCTTTTCCATCAGTACCACATTGGGAGCCATTGTTCAAATGTAATTAAAGTAAAGTAATGAACAGAAAATGGCCTCAGTGAGAGAATAATGAAGTAACAGTGGTCCTGCAGCTTGGGCTCTTTATGATTCTCCAAACAATATTTTCATATAAATTCTAAAATACAAAAACTGCTCATTTATGAACAGTATTGAAAAGTGATGTTTGTGTTGATGCAGCATCGTTGTTCTGATTATTTTACATTATTAGAATAATTTAAGAAAGATTCTTTACCCGATTGTCCCACATATATGAGTTTTGTGTAGAAGTCTTACAGATCTGTAACACTTCAGTGTTTGTGTCATTATTGCATCTGTCAGCTGCCACTCACCAGCCCTACTTTGTTTTACCGCACGGTAAAATAGGTTGAATGTGTTAAAGTGACATTCACAAACACCCCTGAATACATGTCTCAGGTGTCCCTATTGCAGATGTGTGTGTTTCCTATGCTTGGGTTCCCCGAGAGCAAATTTAATTTCGTTATCCCTCCTGTCTTTGGCATGTTTGCGTACACAAACACGCAGACGGCAAGCTTGAACAAATGGCAGACTTGTCAGCCCGGTGGTGTCTAAGCTTATGATTATTTTGAGCACAGTACACTATTTGCATTGCACTTGTGAACGTGTTTAAGCGGTGTGTTACCTCAAACAAATGCAAATTGCAGAGTAAATCAACAAACCAATATGATTTGTAGTTTGTTTTTTTTCCACGTCGTTGTCGGTAGCCAGGAAGTAATCAGCTGCTTTTAATTTGCAGGTGGTGATTTTATCAGTAAAACGAGCCACTGGAACCTTCTCCTTACTAGGATGGTAAATATGTCATAAACTGTGTTTCTCTCAATGATTGGTTGTGGGGTTTTTTAACCACACATTTATATTTCCATAATGAAGCATTAAAATGCAGACAGCTGAGTGTGACTTGTAGAAACACTGATAATGGTGCTGCGCAAAAGTTTCAGGCACTAAAGCACTAGCCAGGGTGATGTCAAAAACAGGAATTATATTCATTTATCAATACCAGATGGATGCAAACACACAAAGGAAAATAAAATTAAGATTCCTGTTTGTACCCATATTCTTTCTTTGTACTCCTGCAAAGGTTTTCCTGGTACTTGGCAAAACTTTGTCTTTTGAAATGCAACGGTCATCGTGTTTGAACTGAATCCTTAAAGTAAAGAAGTTGTCAGACCGAATCCCCTGTCCTAAGAGTAATTTTTAACACATTTGATCAGAAGAAGTAGCTCCCAATTCATCTTGAATTTAGGGCAACTCAAAAGGGCACTAAGACCTCTCCAGAATAATTCAATAGCTGCAAGTAATGTTTGAGCAAAGAGCCCTCAAATAGTTCTTTACATGTTGAGCTTAAGATCTAAAAGATAGCATTGTTAATCCTTTTTTAGCCCAAAAGACAAACATTTCTACTTTTATGGCTATACCTTGCTGATTCCTTAACAACAAAGCAGGAGAGCTTTGCTTTAGACAGTTGTGATCATCTTCCGTGCTCATCATAATTATCGCCACATAAATATCCGTGAAGTAACAGAAAGGTGTTTTTAGTGACGTCAGCAGAAAAATTGCATATTGCAGTTGAATTAATTCTTGCAACAGTTTGCACCTCCAGGCAAACTAGAAAAGGCGTCCGTTATAGCCTCTGCATACATATAGGATTTTGAATGTGAGTTTGCTGTGCAACATGAGAAATTCACAGGAAGAAATAAGCCCCTCTGACTCTGGTATGTATAGTGTTATCATAAGCTCGTTAAGTTTCACTTTCCTTATGTCTTATTACAATTTTATATTATTTTTCTTATTGATTAAGGCTGTGTCCCAATTCTGAGGTAGCATGAGTTTGGCCTTTAGATTTATTCCCATCCATATCTCAGCGAATATCCAGTCACCTAGCAACCATGACGGCGCTAAACAGAAGGTAAAACTTAACTTAGTGGAAATACATGAAGATACACGGGACCCACCATACAAGCTCCTTTACAAGGATTTTTCTTATTATTTTGGACAATAATTTATATATATATATATATATATATACACACATACACACACATATTATATATATATATATATATATATATATATATATATATATATATATATATATATATATATATATATATATACACACACACAACACATATGCTTTTATTTTTTTGTACTGCCAGCTATCAACACCATGCTTCGTCCGCCATTATTACAATAACAAACATATCCATTTTGGCCTGCAATGGACCCTGAGATAGCATTTGCCAATGAGTTCACACCAGACTCTTTCTTGAAATTTAGGGAAAACGAGGACACATTTCTGGATGCATTTAGGTGTCCTATGAAGTTGGACAGCCTTGTAGCTGTGATATAATCATCCTTAAACTGCATGCTCCGAAGGATGCAGCCCCTGGATTTGGACACAGTCAAAAATGAGCATTCAGACTAACCTTTGAAAACAAAACAGTGATGTGTGGCAGCATCAGAGCCAGTGATGGTTTAAACCTCAACAAACTTAGAAGCTGCTTCTGTTCTGGGGACTAGTCCAGAGCATCTTTAGCTGATTGGACAAAGGAGGATGCTTCATAAAATAAAGGACATGATGGACACCCTCCTTAGAGAAAACCGTAACTCCGCAACAGTGTCTTCTGTCAGAGACTTTGTCAGATGCTCTGGAACACAGACAATCCTTCCTGTCCACAGCTAGAACTATTTACGTAGAGTCGAGGAAAAAAAAACTACAAAAATGATTTGTCAGCATCTTAATTTCCCTCTGGGATTAATAAAGAGTTTGGGAATTTATTACTAAATAATCTAGAATTCTTTCTATCAACTCCATAATAAATTTACCATTTATTATGGAGTCAAAGAAAAACCAGATATAAAGATCTGTTCAGTGGTGCCCCAATTGTCTTTCATGCATGAAGCACTTTGTTTTCTCTCCTCAGCTTTTTCATGCTGTTTGTAATCTGGGTGCTTCGACGGTATCACTCCTTGGCTCAGGTGAGTTTTGGACACTCATTCCGTTAGCACACATCTTTTCAATTCATGTTTGCTTCATTTCCACCGGAAATCTGTTCAATTAGCCATGGCAAATCTTGGCATAATTGAACCCAATTAACATGCACAGATTAATGAATTGGGGAGGTAATTGACTCATGGTCATTCTGTGATAGCTGCTGTCATCCTGTGCATACCCCCTACCACACACACCCCACTCTTCAAACGAACCAGTTTAAATAAACTTAATATTTTTCCCCCTCTACCTCTTATTTCTTCTCATCTGAAGGGATTTACTCTTCATAAGGGTGTTTGGTATTGCTGTGAGCGTGCGGCTTGAGGAAGATTTTTTCGTGTGTGAGGTTTTGAAGCCAGTCCAGCGGGTCTGTCAGGTTTTGGCAGAGCTGCATGTTATCCTCCTAATCTGAAGTAAATGACAGCTTAACGTGGGGCTTGGATGGATCCCATTACCTGTGGACCACACTGCTGAAAGCGACCTCGCGTCTTCCTGATCTCCCCCTTCAACCGCCCCCATTTCTCATTCCTCCTCCTCCTCTTATACAGCATAAACCCTTTCCTTACTTGCATCCACTCTCAAAAGGTTATCTGTCAGTCAATAGTCTTTAGTGCTCTCAAGGCCCTCCTTTGTGCTTATTGTGTCTTCCCACCCCCCTCCTCCTCTTCCCGATACTCCTCTATGCTGGCCTTGGCGGGGTCATCTCTAGACAAATTGAAAACAGGGCTCCACGTGTGTGAAGGTTTGTGTGCCCGCCACAGACAAGATCGTTAGAAATGCTGCGGGAAGTTGAACCCAGTGTGTTTCACAGCTCCGTTCTCAGAAATTTTGTGAACAGATTAGTAATCTGTTTTATCTCAGTCTTTAAACAGTGGAAATAAGCTGAGTCTTTCCTCTGTGATATTTTCACTGAGTTGTCACCAGGGATGGTGTATGCCAAGCTGTCAGCCACATCAGTGATCATTTGAGCTATAATTTTCCCTTCTCTATAAGTGAATATAAATGCACTGGCATTTTCACTCAGAATGTTCTCTTAGATAATCCTTCTTCCCGTCTTTTTCCTGGATTTTCACGGTGCAGAAGATGATTCTTAGCCTGACTGTGGCCGCCTTCTTCGACAGCGTAGCATATGTCATGGTGAGTTACACAAAAGTCTGCCTTTTTACGATGGCGTGTATTTTTATTTTAGTTTTTCCATGCTGAGTATTTTTTTTTTTTATTCCCCAGGGTGAGAGCCATCCGGAGGGATCTCTGTGTGACTTCCAGGCCTGGTGGCTGACATACTTCGGTAAGACAGACTTTAATTAATCACTCACTGACACGTCTTTCGTAACAGAGACAATTGAGCAGCAAAGGCGTAGCTGAGATCCGACACCGACGGCTGACGAGAAGCTCTTATATCGTAGTGGCAAATATTATTTCTTTGTCATTTCCTTTTATGGCTAGAGAACAAAATGTGTCTCAAGTGGTTGGGAGTCATCTCCAGAAGAAGTATGGGCTACTGCATCTGATCTTCTAATGTGATAAGCCTGTCTCTAAAGTTTTTGGAGTTTATTTGGAGATGTCAAAAATGGCAGAACAACAGATAGCTGCTCTCAACCGCCCAGACATAGAGCTTGGTTATGTCATCAAGTGACATAAACTTGAACAGTAACCACCTGTTTGAGACGGATAAGGAGAAGCATTCAGTGAAGGAACTCCCAGACAGATAAGAGGAGAACCACTCCAGAGCAGTTCCTGATAGGCCTACCCAGTCTCTCAGACTCTCCAGTAACAGGTCAACGTGTCAAAGGCTGCAGTCGGGACTAGAACAGTTCCCTGCATCACTGTGAGTCAGAACGTCATTAGAGACCAAAAGAAGAGCTGCGTCTTGTCAGGATCTGCTCCTGTAGCCTCCTGTGTCTCTGACGTCTCATCTCCCTTGTTAGTGTTTAGTGAACTCCCCTGCCCCTTGTTACCTTACCCACCTGTTTCCCTGATTATCCTCATGTATTTAAACCCTCTGTTTGTGTGGGTCTTGGTCAGATCCTCATCTTGTCCTCCTGCTGTATCATCCTACCTACCATTATTCATATTAAGCAGTTCTTTTGCTTGCCAGTCTGCCTGCTATCACCTGCATTTTGGGTCCCAACTACCAACTCCACATCATGACCGTTTCAGTTACATTCAATTAATGTTAAAATAAATGTTCTGTGTGAAAACGAAGCGTTACAAGTGATAATGCTGCAGGATTGCATAATTTTATCCTTCTCCACAACAGCACTGCAGGTGCTCTCCATGTCCAAAATGTACGTAAGCCAGGTCCTTAGTCAACTTAAAGTTGCGCACATTTTTCCGCTAAGTTTTCTTTTATAAATCCCAAAGTTTGCGTGGAAAGTTGCTTACGCAGTTTTCCGACCCGTTTTGTGCGTAAGCAAGCTTGATAAATGAGGCCTCAGTTCATTAAGCCAATCAGTAAAAAGTTTCCAATATAAGGAACCCAGCAAATTGCATCAAGTCACTGACTAGTGTTGGTGACTTGATGCAATGCTCAGTAGAATGAGCTCTACAAAAACCTGACTGGAAACTATCACAGATGTTATGTTCATCAAGAGCAGCTGTGAGTTGTTTAGCCACAACCTTTTCCAAGATCTTGGAGATGGAATGAAGTATAGAGATGGATCAAGATCTGGGGCCTTATTTATCAACCGTACTTACACACAGATCTGTGCGTATTTCGTGCGTAGGCATGAATTTACGTATTGTGTGGTATTTACCAATTTGTACTTATGCGTGAACATAAATATAAGAACAGCTCTGACCATGCGTAGGAACAGCATCTAGTGGTAGAACGGGGCAACAGCTGTACTGAAGGTCTCAGTCATCCACACGTGTTCCTTATCCACAAATTATGTTTACCCAGTTATGTCGGTGGAAAAACGACTTTTGCGCATTATTGGTGCTAAAACCAATAAAAGACACGTGAAGGATGGGAATCCGACATTATATCATAACTAATCTGTGTTACTTGAAGATTTAACAGAGCGTGCACTCTGGAGGGAACGCGTTCTCCGTGAGATAGAAATCCTTCTGCTAAGCTGTGATTTGTGACCCTTTTTGGCGTGACAGACAAACCTCCAGTTGATATTTCATTTTACGACTATGAGAACCCCCCAGAAACACCTCCTGCTGCCCGGTCATACATGCAACCAGACTGAATGACAGCTCAGAAGAGGCTGAGGCTACACCGTCAGACATTTCCAAATGAAACAAACTCCAAACAGAACGACTCCTTAAATGTAAATGAGAACCCATTACTCTATGATTTATCTCATTCATTTTTAAACATATTTCTGACAGGAACTTCTCCTCTGTCCCAACCGTGTTTATAACCTCTGCAACTTGTTTGGTTTTTTTGCGCTTCGGCAGCCAGTCTCTCTGTAATGTAGCAAGTACATTACACAGGCTTTTGTTATGGTTTTGTATGATAAATGAAACCAGACTCAATAACAATTGTTTTAATGTTTATTTAAAAAGGGTGAAGAGTTTAGATCTTTATGAAGAGTTGGTATGAGTACTGAAGATTTAAAATGGTAAATTATTGAGTGTTTCTGGAGGTGTTCCAGCTAAAAGGGTCCCTGGGGAGCTGGAGCACCTAAAGAAGGTTCCGGAGCATTCCATTCTGCATGAATAGGAGGGATGACCAGTGGAATTGCTCTAGGAATGCAGATTAGTTTCACCGAATGTTTTTAGGATTGATTAAGGGTATTTCTATTTTTGTATTGTAATTTATTAAAGAAATCTTATAGATGATGATTTAAGGATAATTTAAGAAAATTGAAAGATTGTATTTTTGTTCTTACCTGTGTCTGGGTTTTAGGATTAGTCCAATTAGTCACACCTGTTATAAATACAGCTCTGTGTTTGTTGGAGAGGGTTGAGAGATAGAAGGAGCGGCATGCATGGATTTTTGCTGCCTAGTTTTTAATTTGTAAAAGATTTAAATAAATGCACTTGGGTCTGCACTGGACATAGCCTCCTCAGTATCGCTTTTTCCTCCGGAGCGCATGAGGGTTATCCTGACAGGTCCCCTCGGCGCCACAGTCTGGGTCTTGCTGTCAATAAAGTTTTTCTTAATTTTTTCTGGAATAAAACCCCCAGGGACTCCTCTCACGTGCTGAGGACGTAGCATGACCAAATGTGGCTAATTGAGGGCGTTTCTATATATAATTGACGGTGAATGGACACGAACATCTGGGTACACACAGGTGGGATTTATCATCAGACAATTGCGGAGGAACGTGCGTACGACAGATGGACTGAAAATTATTTTTAAACAAAGATGAGTGTAAGATGTTGACAGGGCATAGGTCTTCATAGAGTTAACTGTTTTGTTTATCTCTGGCAAAGAACCAGGAGCAAAACAATCTAGAGTCAGGCAGAGATGGGGCTGAAGGAGAGGTGCTAGCTCTAACCTTATAGACCTTATCCACAAAGAGAGACAGGAAGTTTTCAGTTTCCATCCACATCTACAAGCATTAGAAAGAAAAGCGTTAAAACTAATCAAACTTGAGAAATACTTCAATGCTCCATCACTGATTTTATTTAATTTTTTTATTTTTTTTTTTTACATATTTTTACACCAGGATGCTATTCAAACCAAAGATTGGGCATGTTGCAACACGGTCGGTGAACTGTTCAGTCAGTATACAGTTACATAACAGCAAGTCATGCTGACCAGGTTTGTGTAACTGTCTGGGACAAAACTGACTTTGGGCAAAAATCCCACAAATGTTTGATGCTGGAGTTGTTTTAGACGGCAAGACAAAAATCCATTTCAGTTTGATCTCAGGTGACCGCATGCATAGGGTTTTTGTCCTGCAGCTCTGAATAACCAAACATCTAACATTTTAGTATTGTCATGTTTTACTATTTAAATAACCATATCTAGTCATGCATTGTCCTTTTAGTTGTTCTAATATAATGGTTCTTATCCATTCATCTTTGTTTTACTTCACATATTCCCACCCTCTCTGTGTAATCCTTATGAAACTGAAGAACACGTTGGATAAGAAGAGGTTAATCTCAGTCATTCTTTGAGAATTCACACCCCTTTGCGATGAATTCCTTTCCTTCACTAACCGTGAGTCAGAGGCTGTTCCGTGCCCAAACAAGACATCTCCATGTTTCATCAGAAACGTTCGTATGAGGAGATGGCTGTCCTCCAATCACAGTGCAGATCGTCACTTTGTAAACAAGCTAGAAGCTTCTACAGGAAACAATCTCGAAGCTTCTACAGGAAATAACCTCGAAGCTTCTACAGGAAATAACCTCGAAGCTTCTACAGGAAATAACCTCGAAGCTTCTACAGGAAACAGTCTAGAAGCTTCTACAGGAAACAATCTAGAAGCTTCTACAGGAAACAATCTAGAAGCAGGAAACAATCTAGAAGCTTCTATAGGAAACAATCTAGAAGCTTCTATAGGAAAGGAACTCTTGTTCCTGCATATCTGGTTTTATAGTTTTGTCTTTAATATTAGAAGATGATTAATTAGAATTTGAAGCATGAGACTTGATTTGCCCTGTTTAGTTGGCGTGCTGTATGAATATAATCAGAATCATTCCTTGAAGGAGTGTGTAACACCTGCTGCCTTCAATACCTCAAACTAAAATCATGTGAAGAAATGAAGTTCTAGCCATCTAGGTTCGGTCTTGAAATGAACGTTTTTGCACAATTTCATTCAAAATTGCTAGATCTCACGCGGTCTTTGATCACCTGGAGTATGTGTTGCAAATTATTTTCATCTGCTATCGCATCACATGCGAGCCCAGTATCTATAAATTGTCTGAGTTGTAGACATTTTTGAAATTTTTAAGGTCAGTTTGCTGTGGCAGCCGTCCGGAATAGGGTCCACTCAAAAAGTTAATCAGTCTAGATTTGCATCAAATAATTACTTTCTGGGAGTGTCATTAAAATGGGTTCTGTGGTTTAGGAGACATGTTTGACTTCAGTTAATGGTTAGGAGTTGAGTTAGAGTTTTAATTTATTATCTGTGATCAGTAAAATGGAGCCATTTGTTTTCTTTACTAAACTGGCTGAACTGGGTGTGAGCTAACCAGGTGTAGAGTTTCATCCAGTGACCTTATTCTGGTAGTTTAAGTAAAATCTTGTAATTTGACTTTTTTTTTTTGACAAAGGAACAAACACCTGCTTGCACGCAGGCCTTTTAGTAGCAGGTGATAAAAAAAGTAGTGGCTTGATTCTTTTGGGTTGTTGTAAGTCACCTTTATTTATCTAGAAGATCGCTCTGCTGACGACAAACGGCTTCAACGACAGCCATATTCTAGCTCGGCCCTGCCTTTATATCTACAGATAAAATGTTAATAAGTGTGTTCAGAAGTGACAGCCGGAGCAGCACCGGGACAGGTGTGGTGTCAAGCTACAGAAAAGGCTTTAGAAGACATTTGCTGGAAGCATTTGACAGTAATTGTGAATTATTGTAATAATACCCCGTCTGTGTAAGCCATTACACATCCTAAAGGTTCCTTGAACGTTGCAGTTAGTGCGGGTGAATTTGTGTGTACACACAGTTGCAGGTTTTTTTCTTTTAGCCGACTCTGCATTTATATAATCACAAACAGTCTGAGGAAAAGGGGAGGTAAATGTTCTAGATTTGCTCCACTGACCACAGCTTTCTTTCCCGTCCTCCTATCTCCCTTTTTCTCATATTCCTTCACTCGTGTTGCCGTCCACCCTGCCACCCCGTGCCACCATCATCTCCCGCTCTTCGCTAACCTCGTTTTTTTCCCCCCCTCCTTCTCCAGACTGCACTCCTGTGTTATCTCCTCCTGCTTTTTCACAGTTCATCATTATCTCCCCGTGAGCTCCCACCTCTCATCCATCACCCTAAGCTACAGGTTTCCCTCATATTACCACAGAATGGGCCTTCATTTATCAAAAAGTGGAGCGCACGCACACACACACTCACACTGTTGGTACGTGTCTGTTAGGACGCGCGACTGCAGGCGCATGCTGTGCGGCTGTAATTTGACCTTGGTGTTTTTCTCTGTGTGTGTCTCTGCAGACTGGAGTGCCTTGGCCTGGGTTTGCCTCATTACACTGAACCTGTACCTCAACCTGGTCAGAGAAATAAGCACCAGCAGATACGAGATGTGAGTAGGGAAAACACTTTGTGTAAATCCTTTGGCTCATTGTGTCTTTAAAATGCTCATTAAACTTCATTTTTATTGTTTTAAACTGAAATAAACAACGAATGAGTACAATTGAGAGGCTGTACTTAATGAAAATTAACTTAAATATTAACACTGTTGTTAATTATTGCTTTTTAAAAAAATATTCCACTCTAAAGAAGCTGTTTATCACTCGTCTCGACTGACTCGTGCCTTTCATGTGTCCCGGTCTGCCTGTATTTGTTTAATGTGCGTCCTTCCTTGTGTGTGTTTGTGTTTGTGTGTGTGTTTGGTCCACAGCTCCATGTGTCTCCCCACAGAGCACTGACAGGGCCCCCCCTCCTCCTGCTCTCCTCCAGCCAGCTGACACTCTAATTGAAATGGGAGTGAGTGTCAGCCGCTAAGTGTGCCGCCTTTGTGTGTGTGTGTGTGTGTGTGTGTGTGTGTGTGTGTGTGTGTGTGTGTGTGTGTGCGCACACACCCATCGTCACGCTTTCTGGCTCTATTTCTGTCCCTCCAACTCCCATAAGCTCTTTTCTACAATGCAGTGTGAATTTGTGCGTTGTGTGGGTTTTAGTTTTTTTTTTTTGCAATCTTGACGCCAAGGTTTTTGGCAGACGTGCTCAATTTTTAAAGACGACATAGACAGAAAATAAGAACTCCGCTCAAGGTTTGTTCTTGTTGATGTGTTTAGGTGAGCACACTTGTGTGACACCATTAAGGGAGGTGTCTCCACCACCACCTATGGGAGTTTTCCCTGCATTGATTAGCAATAAGCCAAGACAGTATAATGGTGGTATAACTCATAAAGAGACGGCTTTATGTGTGTAGGTGCAGGCTCGGAGGCTAGAATCAGCTCAGCTCTATGACACACACCTTGTGTGAGTCCAGAAGGAGTGAAGTGGGAGGGGGGAATATCTCATTTATTTATTTGCGCCGGGTCTCGAGGGCTGCAGTGAATAATCGCCATAGTTGATGACGTTGACGGTGGTAATTAGTCTGCGTCTTTATTTTTAGTAGGTATTCATATCAGAAATAAGCCATAATTTTGATTATTTTTTGTTTCATCTCATGTCTAATTAAAGGTCAGAAGATGTGAACATATCAGGCTGAATACTGCTGTTTTTAAATTATTTAGAGCCTAATTTAATTTATTTTGTTAATCTAACCCTTTATACAAATATATTGTACTTCATTGTTAGTTTTGTGATATAAAATAATCCCCAGCAATTAAACAAAGAGGAATGGAAGGAGATTAAAGCTGCTTTCCGGAGTTTTCCCCTTTCAGAAATGATGTATGATTTTATCAGAAATCCGTAAAAGTGATTATCTCATCATGTACTGTGATTAAATGTGAGCAATATGTCTTTTTTTTTTTTTTTGCTACGCACGCTCCCTGCCCCGCAGAGCTCCATTCAGTAGGAAACTGAGCACCGACCAGAACTAACCAATAGCGTTAGACTACTGCTTATTTGCTTCAGATTTAAGGAATGCCTCGGTTGATGCAGAGTTGAAGAACTTTTCATGGACAAGTAAGTCTCTACAATATAAATATATGAAAACACAGCATGACATGAGAATAATACTCGTAAAACAGCGTGTTTTAGCTCCGTTTGTCGGCTAAGAAACACATTTATAAACAGAAACGTGAAGTCGCGATCTTAAACAGGGGAATAGACTTTTTGTGTGATATGCTTGTCAGCCACTAGATGGTGCCATCAGATAAGAGAAATACTCCGGAAAGAAGCTTTAATAGATTAATTAATCAATAAACTAGTTGTTAAAATGACCAGTATGGAAGTGGCGGCAGCCCTACTGGTCTGATGTGATGTGAAGGGAGAAATAAAAAGAGATTTAAAAGGCTAAAGAGGAGGTGTCAGTGGGGCCGTTGTTCATCGACTGTGCACAGATGAGCCTCATGTGTTTTGGCAGGTGACTGTGCAGCTTTGCATACATGCACAATTACCCCTTGGCCTCCCTCCCCTCAACACAACCTTCCACCCGTGCTCCAGGACTCACACACATGCAAGGATGCACTGCGTGATGACACGGCTTGATGGTTTATGAATGAACAAATCGCCAGAGGAGACAGAATGGAGGCCGTATGATCTTAAGAATGGTGGAAGTGGATGCTAGAGAGGGTAGGAGTAGAAATGTGTGTGCAAATATCTGAGGTATGAATCCAGGCAGAGTCAGTGCGACAGGCGCTGAGGGTAGCGAGACGGCAACGAAGACAGAGGAATTAAAAGGTGGTGTGAGGCAGGGAGCGCTTGTGCACACTTGTGAAGTGTGGAGCCGTCCTGCTGCGCCTCATTAAGTCCATGTTGTGAGCAGCTTCGGACCTCGTCATTTTCCTCTCAAAGGCCCTGCCAGTGTGAGCTGTGCATGTGGTAGAAACCCCAGGCAGTGGGGTTTACGTCGGGGTGGGGCTATTAGCTTTTGACATTGATTTCCTGACCCCTCCCCCCCCCCACCCCCACCCCCTTCCACACACACACACACACACACACACACGCTCTATCATAGCCACCGTGTCTTTCTGTCCTCTCGTTACCACGCTGACTTTCTCTTTAGTTCCTTTGTGCTTTTCACTCCCTGGCGTTTCCTACCTCCCCCTCTCTTCCTTTTTGTTTTCCTTTTCCCACCAGCCCTCTCATGTTCCATCCAAAATCAACCTCCATCTGGATTCTCTCCCACTTCGTCAGCTCTGTTTAAACTCTCTCTCCCCACACCTCCTGCACACCCTCAGTGCTGTCCATCAGAGGGAGGTCGGAGTGCACCCCCTGACACAGAGTGACAAAGCGTGTGAAAGAGTGTCTGTGTGTGGGGTGGCACACAACTCGAGGGGAATCGAGCGTGTGTCAGCCATGTCACCACTGCTCGATTGACCGTACTTGGAGCAAGTCAGGAGAGGACTTCCACTCTATTGACCAGGCGACGCTGTACGCTCTATAAAGTATCGACTCCAGCCTGGACGCTCAAGTCACCGGACCACACACCTTTAGCTGTCTCACACACACACACACACACACACACACACACACACACACACACACACACACACACACACACACACACACACACACACACACACACACACACACACACACACACACACACACACACACACACACACACCTTTAAAAGCCGTTGATGCTGATGCTATTGTATTTCACTTATATGCAACACAGCTCTCTAGTCTCCTTAAGCTTTGTGCTTCTAAACTACACACCTCAAACCATATTGCTTCAGGGACCTTTCTCTCCAGATTTTACATTCACCTACTGACTGAGAATACACACACTCGTTTTGTGTGTGTGTGTATATGTTTGTGTGTCTGCATACTTCCTGTGAAAATCTTCTTTTCCCCAACAGTTAGGGTGATGATGGTTCATATTACCATGAGTAATTGGCTGTCTGGCTTTATAGACATTTGTCTGCACCTGAAAAATGACCCTGATGCCAACAGAAGGATGAACTATTGATTCATTTTAGCGGTGTTTATTGTTATGTCTCACGCAGAGCTGCCTCCTAGCTGTTCTAATTAAATGTCTGTTTTCCTTAAATCAGATTTTACCATTTGATGGCGTGGGGGGTACCTTTGGTCATGGCCTCGTTGCCCCTCATCAGGGGTTACTACGGCCCTGCAGGAGCCTGGTGGTGAGTATGTCCATATGACCCTGACATAATGTCCTTTTTTTCTGTTTTTCTCTTAAATGTCTTTTCTGTCAGTTAAGGCCACAGTCCCCCCCCCCCCCCCCCCCCCACTAGCTCTACGCCTGATGTAATGGGAGTTTAAAAATTGGCAATTATCAGCACATCTGATCACAGTAAACGCCTCCTTGCTCTCTGGTGAGTACGAGAGGCATTATTTGTTTGGAGGGGTTGAGGCCGAGTAGAGGCGGCAACGATGGAATGAGAATTGGGACATAGCCTTAATCTCCGGGCTCAGCTCGCTCTCCCTCTCTCTCTTTCCACCCCCGGCTTATTAATAGCTGCAGCTGCACAGATTTTTCCCTTTCTGCAGGCACACAAGTCTCTCTTCCGCTCATGCTCTCCCTTTTCCTTTGTGACCCGCTCATCGCTCTCCCTCTCTGTTTCTCTCTTCCCCCCCAGCTGGATCACAGACGATCACGTAGCCTGGAGATTTGGGATGTAAGTAGACCCTTTCAGTGCTGCCATCAAAGCTTCCCACACTGGGGAGGTTGGGAGGAGCAGGGAGAAGGAGGGCTGTCTCTGTGGGTATATGTGAAGGGTTACATGTCAGGGGAGGCTGCGTTTTTTTTCTCCCCATTCCGCTTGGTACATGGCCAAGGAGTGTGTGTGAGTGTCTTGGTGTGCAGATGTGTGTCTACCTCTGCCTTGTCAGATTTAGGGGAGTTGCAACATTGTGTGTATAAGTGTTTAGGATGGCTATGAAGGATTATGCCTGTCTGCTGCTTTTTGCAACCAGCCCTAAGTCTGCAAGTGCCTTGCCAATCCCTGGATGCACATACGAGCACATGCGCACGGCACTTCTGGATGAGCCAGGGTAATCGCATTGCTGCTTGTAGCATCAGCAGGGAATCAATCTTTTAAAACAAATAAGCACACGTGTGTGCGCACACACACACACACACACACACACACACACACACACACACACACACACACACTTGAAGTCATGCACAGAGAACAACACATAGCTATCAGCTGTGCTAAACGAGCCTGTGTCTCCTTTATCAGCGCTTCTCTGCTCCCCGGTTCTGACTAGTTTTCCACGCTGTTGTGGCCCAGGGGGACGCGCCGCTCAGAGGATCAGGGAATCTTCATTAGCTCTAATTACATCAAACTAGACGAGAGATTAGAGGCCAAGGCAGCACCCGTCAGAACAAAAAAAAAAAAGAAAAGCACTCAGATGCACACACACCCTCACACACCCTGCCAACAGCATGTGGAAGGGCAGAGTCCGTAGTGTTAAAGGTGAAAAGTGGAAAAGGTGGGAGGGGTGACATACGGGATGCAGTTAGAGAGACAGGGAATTACTCAGCAGGAGAAGGAAAGAGGGGTCGAGTAGTAGGACGGCAAGGAGAGGAGAGCCGGAGAAATAGATTGTCCTCGTTTCTGCCCACGCTCCGTAGTGTGTCTTCATCAGAGCTCAGCGAAGCGCGCAGACAGAACAGGAGACGGGAGGTTTAAAGGAGGAGGAGCAGGGAGGGAAAGGGGATGAAGGAGGAAGGTGAATGAAAAGCAGAGGACAGCGCTGTGTGAGTGATGGAAGTACAGAGTTTCCAGGGCTGACTCAGCAAATGGAAGCGCTAGAGCTTAGCTGAGTCACTTCTCGTAAGAAGTCCCCCTCTGGTGTGTGTCATGGGGACCACTGACAAACAGCTGCGAAAGTGACATGCAAATTCATCAGCAGGACGTTTTAGCTGCAAAGCTTTATGGGAGGCAACACTACCAGTCTACAGCTCGGTCCGTATTGAAATAAAAACTTTCCATTAGGCGACGCTCTTAAGTTGTGGTTTCAAACATGTTACCGTCTGATCTTTACCAACTTCTAAAGTCTCACCCCGTTCTGTAGGGGCAGACCCCATGGCAGATACTCATTTTATTATTGAAATTCTTTGGAAAGTGGTCCTTTTGGGATGGCCCATTGAAATAGAGGCATGCACATCCTGTAAAGGTCCAGTAAAATTACTCGAAAGTTCAGATAGTAGAAACGGAATTCAGGAGCAATTTTGGCCCACTGTTCTTAACTGATTGCTTCAAGTTGTTGATGTTTGTGGGCATTTGCTACTACACATCCTTCTTTTGGTCCTGTCACAACATTTCAATCACATTGTGGTTTGGACTTTGCAACACGTTGATTCCTTTCTATTCAGCCATTCTGCAGGTAGATCTACTAAAGTGGTGAGGAACATTGTCCTGTTGATGGCCTGGCAAGCCATCCTATACATGTGAAAATATACCCTGCCTATGAGCCATAGATAGAGCTCAGTCGTGGGGCGGGCTCTAAGGTTGTCTTTCAAACTGTCTCCGCATGCCATTGGACAAATAAACAACGTGAAATACTCACCGCTACAGATGTCAATCAACAGGGCAGCCTCCCATGCGCTGTCAAAGAAGATGCAACATCCCACCCACCAAACCGATACAGCGCTGTGATTGGACCGGTACCAGACTGTCTAGAGCTGTGGAGGCTCCAATGGAGCATGGCTAGACCATTCTTTTTCTTCGGCAAACTGACAGTCTTAAGTTCTAGGCTAGTTTTATAACCCATTTTGGTCCAAATTTCATCTATCAGATAGGCAGACTAACATTTGATAGAATAGTTAGATGTAATGCTTTGGTATATAGACGTCATGATCGACTCAGTGGCTGAATGGTGCCCAAATCATCATCCCTCCTCCATCGTGCTAACAGTTGGTGGGAGGTGTTTGTGCTGATATGCTGTGTGTTAAACAGCAAACATGGAGATGTAGGTCTCATCTGTCGAAAGCACATTGACTAAAAGAAATCCATCTTGTACTGCCATGTTCTTTTTAGAGAACAGACGTTTTCTCTTGGTAGCTCTTTCAAACAACCCCAGACTTTCCTTTTCTGTTTAAATGGTTGCAATATTACAGCCTTTCTCTGTGTATTAGGAACTTGTGGGTCAAAGTTGACCGCTGCAGATGAGCAGCATGGTCCCTACAATCCTCTCCTCGCTGTCAGGCACTTTCAATTAACGTCTTTCATCCAATCCTTGTTATTTATTTCAAAGCTGCACTGGAACGAAGACTAAGCTAAAGCCAAATGATTGAATTTGTTCTTGTATGTGAAGGTCTTTCTGAGGCTTTTAAGCTATCCAAAACCTCCCTTGGCTTATCTGTATTTCATCCATGCTTCCCTTGTCTATCTGTTGGGAGCAACATCGTTCTCCTGTTCCTTTGATTCCCTCCCTCACCCTGTTTTTTTTTATGCCAAGATTTTTTCTCTTATTTTTGCTTTTTCTGATTTGGAGCCACAATCCTCCGCCATCCATCCACCTTTACATTCTCACCTCTATTCATCTCCTCACTTTTATCATCCGCTGCCCACTCTGAAATCTTCCCTCTGCGCTTCTATTTCATTCTCTTTTCTGCCTCCCTCTCGCTCTCTCCGGGTAGTGCTCAGCTGTAGAGCACAGCGGACTCTAATGGCAGATCATTATCATGCTAATTAGAGCACTTTGTAGCTGCCGCCCGTCATTCTCTCCTCCTCACAGACCCCCCACCCCCAACCCCCACTATCGTTAAAAAGGCCACCCCCTCCTCTCCCCTCTCAGCCAACCCCCCCCCCCCACCCCCCACCCCCCCCGCCCGTCTTTCCATCATTAACGGGATGGGCGCTGGCGTAATTGGATGCTGTTTATTCCTGAGAGCAGGTTATTAAATCACACCGAGGTGACGCTTGCACATGTCTCTGCTGAAACGCTTTCATCATTGTCCCATGCCATTATTGAACCTGCGTGGATGCACACATGCGCAGTCACACTCCTGTTCAAAGACCATCCTTGACGTGTTTATTTTTCTTATTAGATTCGAAGGCACCGTCGCGTAAAATGCAGATTCTCCTTCAGAGCCGCACTTAAACAAACGCCAGCTGTCCCAGATTCTCCTGCCAGTAAAAAGTTTAACTTGATCACACTCTGTGAGTTTCTTTCAGTCCTCCGGCATGGAAGATGAGCTTGAATTAGGCCAAAGACCTAATATTTGCCTTTTGAGATGCTTCTTAAAGATGCACTTTGTAGCACACATGGCACGGACTTTTTGGGAATCAATCTAGACATTTATTCCCAATCCGTTTTCCTGTAAAAGTCTACATCCACTCATTAATAGGTCAGAGGAAAATTCAATCACTTTCTTTGTTTTAAATGCCAGTTTAACATTTTTATCCTGCAGCTTTTCATTACCTTCCGCCTCATCATTCAGTGTTGGATGCACTTTGCCAGTGCCAAGATCTCACGAGATGACGGAACAGCATGGTCACGATTATACAGAATTGCTATGGCTGAACAGAGAAGAAGTGGTAGCCAGGAACCTGCCTGTCAAAGTGAGACAAAGACTTGTTTTGTGATTACAGGGAGAGGTTGAAACTCCTCGGAGCTTACATCACCTCCCAAGAGGTTGCACAACACAAGGCTGCCACTCCAACAAAGCCATCGTCTCATTTCCTCGCTCGTCTCACTCCCTTTCATCCGTTCAGAAATGCCTGACATATTATTCACCCACGCCGCCTGTGATTGGCAAACCTCAGTCCCATAGGAGCGAGATGTTTTACTGATATTGTCACTGTGCTGGCATAATCTTTTGTTCTACCTCTTGACTCACTGAAGCTATGTGCTACGAGGTCCAGACTTGCTTAGTCAGGCCGTTTCCTCTCAGTGTTGTCAGGCTGCAAACTCTGTGTCCTCTGCACATCACTGGTTTAAAGCAACTGCTTCCATGGTTACTCTGCAACAACAACCATCTCAACAAGTTGTGTCCGCAATCATCACACATCATCTGTTAAACCAGCTTTGTATAAGCTCCTACTAAATCTTTACCTGAGGTGGCTTGTTGTTTAGTAGCCAAATAAAGACTTTTTTAAGGCCTGCAGACAAAACGGCAGAAGGAAGGGAATGTGTGTGCAAGTGTGCATGCATGCATGAGCACATGTGTGTTTACCTAATGAACCAATGGGCAGATAAAACCTTTGCGCACAGAACTGTATCATTGTAAAATTTACAGATATTGTGCTGAAGTGTGTTTTTATTTTTTTCGTGACAAATGAATTTTTGCTGACTAAAACGAAACAAATACATACACGTCAATATTGACAGACATTTTTGTTGACGAATAAGAAACGACAACAAAGAAAATCCAATTAGCAAATGGAAGAGATGGGAGACCGGAATAAAAGAACCAGTTAGCAAATGGAACCGGCGGGACCAGACGAGAAAAGAACCAATCAGATTCCGGAGCCGTCTGAAAACGCTAGCAGTAACCAGACATCATATATTGATGTCTAAAAGGAGAAAATGTCTGCGGCTGGGAGGAAAAGTATTAGTTTGCTTGGTGAGTACTCATCTGGGGTTTCCCCTGGTTTTGAAAGTGTTGCTGTGGTAGCAGCAAGCAGGGGCGGGAGAGGTCAGGAGCATTTGACTGCTGGTGCTGCTAGTGCTGCTGTGCTCTTATGCACTTGTTTAGGGAACTAGCAGAGTGCCACATCAGAGGACAGCTGAACACGGCAGGATTTGGAGTCTCAGTTCCTGATATTTGGACTTCTTGCCTTGGACTGGATAACAGCAACGCAACTCTTCCACTGACTCTGTTTGCTCTACGTTGATGTTTTATCTTAACAAATAACACAAGCCTGAAGGAGTTCTGCTGTGTGGTGGAGTTGCTAATGCTAACTGTTAGCTTCTGTCAGCCAAGATGTTCTCTGCTGTTTCCTTGACGCTAAAACAACAGCCTTCCCTGTTGTGAGTCAATATGGGTGAGTCCATGATTGTTCAGTGAGAGTGTGACAAATCTGTCAGGCTTTTCAAATCCTAGCGTTTCACCATCTATTTTCTATTAGAAGCTAATGCAGGAGATGGTCATAAGAGACTGTTTCCATTTTCAGCATTAAAAACTCAGAGTGACCTATTATAATCAGAAATAATCATCAAAAAATGTTTTTTCTGTGTTTCAGACCTTTAAACTCTTAACTATTTGGATCAACCCAGTTCATCTTGTTTTAGAATATCTTATAAATCACCAAACCTGTTTTAATAAAACCTCTTTAAAATAAAAATCTACAGCTCATTAGATTTTGGAGTCAATCCAATTCAAGATGGTTTGCCCCTGCTAATCAACTTCAGCAAACACAAAAATGGCACCGACTCAGTCGGTGGTATAAATATTGAGGAAGACTTTAATCTATTTGACGTTGATTCGTTTTTTTATTTTGGTCATTTTCAGCTTCAAAGAAAAAATATCTTGTTTTTTTTTTCTGTCTAACTGCGCTTTTCTGTTCAGCATCCGGTTACAGTGGGTTCCTTTGGTGCTGTGTATGTTGTTTCCTGTAGAATAAAAAAAAATGGTCCCGCTAAAAACAGTGGGTGACAAATTCATAAAGCTCAAAATGACAAGGATGTATTAGTTATAGAATATTTGACCAGTTTTCTTTGTAATCACCGTTTGAAATAAAAGTGAGGCATTTACTTTTTCTAACTAATGGTTTGTGTCTCGGTGCGTTGCAGATGGTACATACCTCTTTTCAGCCTCATTTTCCTGATGATCTGCTGTTATGCCAGGATCATCTGTGTGGCCAATAATAGGGTGAGTCCTCATCGTGCATCACAAACGGGACAAAAGCAGCCTAGCAAATTTAGAATACACGCTGGGTTTCTAAAAGCTAACACCCGTGGGCGGTGTGTGTGTGTGTGGGGGGGGGGGGGGGGGGAGGGGGGGTCACAAATCTGATCTTATAGTTACACAGTAAAGCGTTATTTTTCTTTGTCATTGCATTTAACCTTGGAGTCTTCCTGCATCTTCAGTCTCTAATGGAGTTAAAAATAGCCCAGTTTGGAAACAAGCCAATGCTTTAGGCAGATTATCTGAGATTTTCTTTTATTTGGAAGTAAAACTGAAAATGCTCCAAAAGTCGAAGCTGTTCAATGTTGGCAGATTGAAATGATAATAAAGAATAATTTAACAAAATCCTCAATGTGATGTTTTATGTATTTATTTAGTTACAACGATGATTTATTTGTTTGCTTTTTTCCGTGACTACGTTTGGACGACATCTGAACTAATAAACAAGCTGCACTAAAGCACAGATTGGTTCTTACTAATCTGTAAATTTTAAAGATTTGACCAGATTTTATTTGTTCGTTTGACTTTTTTGAGAAGGGTTGGAAATAAAACAAAGTTGGGAGAAAATAAACATTTTGAGCAAATTCAAAAGTCAGATTTTTTTTTGTTTTTTTACTCTCAGATCAGGAATGCCAGAGACTCATTCTGACATCATTCTGCTTTCAAACGTGAGAAATTCTTGCTTTTGTTGTGTTAAAGTAGTGAGAAACTGGCTTAAATTTTTGTATGGGGGAAATGCTCTTTATGCAGGGCTCTAGGCTATTTGCTGATCTGGAAACGGGTGTTTTTCAACAATCCAGTCAACCTAGTTAGGTAACCAGTAGATGAACTGATTTGATGTGCCTTATGTGACCGCTTGAAAATTCTGTGTAACTTTTTGATGCTGAAGTAGAAACCCAGAGGTTGCATTATACAAAACCTACATACCTGCCATTCCCCGAAAGCATAAACATCACACCCGTGTACCTGCAGTGTTGCTGCTCTCAAGGCTTTCCCCCCCATCTTTTTAATTTAACCCATGCAAAAGGAAAGCAGAAGTGACTGTGTCTGAAACCCCATAAGACTCACAATGAAGTTTTATCATGATGCTGGCATTCTTTCTCTGGCGGCGATGGAGTGAGAACGATGCTGCAGATAACCAGGTAGCAGAAAGACGACAACAGAGACGCACATACCAGTTAGCTGAGGGGCAGGAAGAGAAGAGGCAACATGGCTTTTTATCATGACTGTGATAACGAGGGGGAATGAATGTTGCTGCACCTCATAACTCATTCGGCTCACAGCCATCTCTCCTTCTTCTCCTCTTCCTCCTCCCTGCATCTGTCTTCCACCTTCCTCATTTCCTTTTTGCATTCACGCGTCTCTTTCTCTCCGTGTCTGGACTCCCACATGCCTTCTCCACGTCTCTGCGCCCCTTCCCCGCTTTTGCCTTCTCCATCATATTTTATGAAGAGCTCAAGCCTTATCTCGTTTCAGCTGGAGGCTGTCTCACTTGAAAGAATTTCACAGGCTTTGAAAGCAGGGTAGGTGGCGACTCGCCGCAGAAAGGGATAATGCAGAGGGGGCTGAATGGAGAGAGGTGGGATGTTCGCTGGACGGGGAAGTTTCCACACTTTTCAGAGTAGAGAGAGACAGGACTTAAGCGTTACCTGTTCAAGTAACATTTGCTGCATGAATGAGCCTAGAAGACTTTAGGATCTGGGAACGCCGCGTTGATTTATCCTGTGTCTTTCTCAGTATTTAACTCCTTCCTAGCTGAATTGTTCACCCTAAGAGAGATTGCAGTAAATCCCCATGTGCACACGGGAAACTTGGCCAAAGCTTAATGATATTGCCACTTATTATCAGCGTTTGCTGATTGTGATGGATAGCGGTACTCAGCTGGACAGCAGAGGGCTGCTGTGGAACAGGATCAGTCTAATGACCAAATGGCTGCCCATTTTTTTTCCACACGGCACTGCACACAAACACGCCACCGTCACACACAGATTTATAATGACAGTCACGTCAGCGCAGGGAAACCATGGCAACATTGAGTTAATAAATAGTAGAGCAGCGGAGCTGTTAGTGCATGTTGTCCATGCTGCAGCTCACAGAGGACATCCTGAGTTTCTGTTTGGCCTCCGATGTCTTTGGTCACGTGAGCCCACCAACTTTCCATGCCTGACAACCCTCCCAATCCCATTTCGCCGTTATAAATCCCGATCTTGTGCCTGGGTTTGTGCGCTGGTGTGTCTGTTGACATTTTCCCTGCATTCCCTGGAGAGTGGACACAGAGGAAGTGCAAAAACAAGTATTCCCACGTCCACTGCCGAGATCTCACATCTGCAGCGTTTGCTCTGTTCTTTTTACTTTTTCTATGAAACTTTTACAGAAATATTCCTTCTCCCTGTGCCCCATGCCTTGTTTTCTCCTTCCCCCTGTCATATTGTGTGCACTGGAGCTGATCCGCTTTAGTGAGAGGCTGGGAGCTGTTTAAGTGCTCCCCACTGCCTCAATGCTTGGCGCTCTGTTGTGAATTGGGCAATTTAGTCGGGGTGTGTGAGAGGGTGGAGGGATTTTGCATCGGTGCGGTAGCCGTTGCGATATTTGTTCCAGCTTGTCACTGCAGGCCCTGACCTCTAAACATTCCTTTCTGCGAAATAAAAATAACATCAGCAACGGCAGCATTTTCTCCCCAAATAATTACTCCAATGCTCACTTCATGTATGTACACATTGTGCCTACAGATGCAGTCGTGGTTGGGAACCTTCAACCCGGAGAGGGAGAGGCGGAAGGTAATGTCCCCGCATTTCTCCACATACATGCAAACTCATCATGAGGATTAGAGTTTCTGCAGGATTAGCGCTCACCCTGTCGCTGGGCGGGGAGCAATGTGACCCCACGTCTCACTTCCCCTTGGGTGTGGTTAGGGTTTGGGCATGTGGATCTAAAACCAGAGGTTTAATGACCTGCAGGGATATGAAGAGCAAAGCAAGAAGGTGTTGTGTAAATTATGCCAAAATACATAAGCTGGGATGTAAGGCACTAACATCTGTATCCCACGGAGACATAACTCGCAGATACAACACAAGAGTTAGACCCTGCAACCCTTGCAAGGGATTTGAGAATCCACACAAATGCTTTCAGACATTTTGGGAACTTACTTGCTTTCAACATTTGCAGCCTAGTTAGACACAGTCATAATGACACAGTTTAACAAGATAGAGCGTATAAAATGCTTTTCCAGTTTCTTTAGTAATTGTAACAGTAATGGTTGAGATGTATAACAACAAAACAAGCTAGCTAAACAACTTGGGTTGTATTCTCAGGCCACAGTGATGATCCAGGTGTTTAAAATGGATCTAAAGTGATGGAAAAATCCCTGAATATGGAAGAAAACCTACATTTTTCATACTATTGTACGGTGATAAAAATACAGATGGTTGTTGAACAAGTGGAAGATTCAGGAACAAAAGGGTTTAACAAAGTATTGCTTTTTAAAAATCACACACTCAGAGTATTTTAGATTGAAAAATCCAGGCGTTTTTCTCCCTGATGCTGTTATTTTAAAATCTTTTTTGCATTTTCTAAAGAGTTCATCGAGGTACGGTGTTGTGTTTTTGTGAAATGCTTGAGTAAGATGAGATTTTATATCTTCTTCTACCCATGTGCCCTCTCATTTAATTCTTCTCTCTTAAGAAACCAAACCTTCCATGTTTATTCAAAAAACAAATCCTTTAAACATTTGTCCTTGATGCCCACTTACACAGAGAGGGTCGGTGAAATAGTGACTAATGTGAAGTCACCAGCAACCATCCAAGAGTTTCCTCACCCTCCTTCCCCCCCCCCCCCCCCCCCCCCCCTCTGTGGTATCTACCCCCTAGCAGGGTGAGGTGTAGAGGTGAGGGTAGGGTTAAGGTTATGTAGATGCTGCCCCTAAGTGGCAGGGATAATTACTACACACTGAACTGGCGTAACACACACACACACACACACACACACACACACACACTCTCTCTCTCTCTCTCTCTCTCTTCATGTGGGCTAATTGCTATGTGTAGCGCAGAGTGTAAATAAGTCAGCAGCGGTTTTTATCATACTCTTTCCCCATATTTCTCTCTCCCAGTCGCTCTCCTCATTTCCATCTTTTTTCCTTTCCTTGCCGTTTGCTTTGCTGTCTCTCTCTTCTTCTTTTTTCTCCGTCTTTCTCTTCCTCTTTCACCCCCCCCCCCGTCTGTCTCTTTTCTCTTGTACTCATACGCAGCATGAATAAAGCAGCAAGCCAGGTTCATGGGCATGAATATTTATGAGAGTTTATGCACGCGCTGCGATGCTTTAAAACAACAACAACAGCCTCCCAGATTGCTCTTGCCATGCCAGTGAGCTGTGGTTCGTGTGTGTGTGTGTGTGTGTGTGTGTGTGTGTGTGTGTGTGTGTGTGTGTGTGTGTGTGTGTGTGTGTGTGTGTGTGTGTGTGTGTGTGTGTGTGTGTGTGTGTGTGTGTAGCAGCAGCAGGTGTAAACTAGACAAAGCGATTCCTGTGGGTTGTCTAAAGACCGCCGGCTCTGGTTATTTCCATTCACTTTACCGTGTCTCTCCCCTTGTGCTCACAGCGCTGCTTCCTGAGTTTGTCATTCGTTATCTCTTCCTCTCGCTGTCGTCTCGCAGCATCGTCACCCTCGCTCTCTCGATGAGCGCGCGTCTTGTCGGAGTGATGACGTAAATTACTAATGCTGGCAGTTGTCAGGGCCGTAAGTCAGACGGCTGTGACCCATCTGTGTCTGTGGCTTGAGCCATTTGTCTGTAGTCATGCTTGAGCACATGATCCCGCTCACACATGCACGACCACCACTATGTCTTAGAAGGGCACTGGTCAATGAGAAGGGTACTGTGAGGAGGGTTTTTAAGTCCTCGCACTCCACGCACACCTTTAGCACACCTACACATGCAGCAGCTTATCCCTGTGGGGTAGCAACAAAAGTACCAATGCAAATAGCGAGCCGCTAGCTCGCTATCTTCTCAAGGCATTTGTTTACAAATCCACACAGGCTTGTGCTTGAGTAATAACGTCATGTGTCTGCACACACACGTGTGTGTGTGTGCTTGCATTATTACTCTTGTATCCCACTGAGCATTGCTCCTGCATGTGTGCATCCTCATTAATCCAGTGTAAAGGTTTCTACAATATAAAATAAACCAACTTTGCATTTTGGAGTTTGCCGTTGTTTTAAGATGGCAGCAATACACTTTGGTCTTGGCTCCTCTCAGACTAGCTGTTAGCGCTTCAGCCTCGAAGAACACAAACTCCTAATTTCTAGTTTTTAAACAGAAACATGCCTCAAAATGGTTATAATACTTATTTTAACACCTCTTTTAGATTCTTGAGTCATCATTTTTTGTAGATTTATGTAAAGCAGCATTAAACAGATGAATCAAAAGTTGTATATTTTCCTTAGTTAAATACTTAAAGGTGCGGAACACTGAAAAAACACTTTTTAATGATTATTTCTGATTATAATCTGTCACTCTGAGTTTGTCATGCAGGCTGAACATGTAAATATTCTCCTACACCTATCTCCTGCATTAACTTCTGATAAAAATTTGATGTGAAACTGTCCGATTAGAAAATCCTCACAGATCTACGTCACGCTGTCACTTAACATTCATGGACTCACCCATCATGACTCGCGCCGGGGAAGGCTGTTGTTGGTTTAGCGTCCCGGAAACGGCAGAGAACGTCTCGGTTAGTAGAAGCTAACCATTAAAATTGGCACTCTCCTGTATATTGATTCTATGTGTTGATTCATAATCATCTTCTTTTTTCATATTTAACACAGTGAAGTAATTAGATGTTTTTGGCCGCAGGTAAAAAAACATCTAATCAAATCTAATTACTTCACTGTGTTAAATAAGAAAAAATAATATGATTAGCATTAGCAACGCCACCACACAGCAGAACTCCTCCAGGCTTGTGTTATTTGTGGAGATTTGCCGTTATCTAATCTGAGGTGAGCTGTCCAAAGCTGCCGTCTGAATCTCAGCTGTGATGTGGCTCAATTCTAGTTCCTGGAAATGGTGCACCGGAGTTTTTTCCCCCCAAGAGTACAACTTACAAGTCATCCCACCAGAGACAACTGCAAATGTATTGATTAAACAAGTGTTCCACACCTTTAAGTAATGTTAACAGTCGTATCTTTCCCTTCTGTTATGGTTTTATTTAATTTGAAACAACTTTTTTGATTGTCGTGAAATGTCGGTATTTGTTATTTGCTGGGATCTTTTCCAGACTTCTCCCCCCGTTTGACCTGGAAAGGTTGACACTCAGAGTTATTTGAACCATTTCCCTTTTGAAATTGCGAAACGTCTAGATTCTCACCCCCAAAGAAATCCTTAGAATAATTGCAAACTTGATGTCGGAGCGCCTTCAGTCAAGCCGAAGCTGTTATTTTTAGCGCAAGCTTGTTGTGAGACGAGCGCCAGCCGAGGGTGAGTTCTGTGGGTGGTGGGGGGGGGAGGGGTTGCTCCCGATAACTGTCTGTAATCTAGTGTGTGTCATTAACGTCGGGACCGCTGCGCCCGCTCCACATAATTACGGTTTCATTCCCCTCTGCTTCCTGAGCAGAGCAGGGGCCTCTGACACCGGAGGACTGTGATTAAAAACACGAGGCACTTCACCCGCGCTCTTCCTCCTCCACCAGTCTGCATCCTGTCTTATGCGCAATGACACTCGCCCCGTTTCATCTGAGATCACCTCGCTTGATGCAATCTTTTAGATTTATTTTTCCTATTTGGCCACCAGCATCTTTCCTTCCGTGTTTTGTATCCTTCTGATTCCTGGTCTTCCGTTTTCATTTATCCTAATGCTTCCTTCCTGCTCACACACAATGACACACAAACTAAAGATGACAATAGGCAGATCTTGACATGGCCAGTGATGCCAGAACTTATAATAATAGCCAGTAATGGGGACGAGCCTGCTAATGTTGGTCCTTGGGTTTGATCTGGTACTGACCGTTATCTGGAAATAAGTCTCTTGTTTTGGTTGGTCGCAAACAGCCGGTGTTTCTTACACAGAGGACGGTCAGCTTCTGTGTTAAATATGCCTACAGACACATGCAGCATACATACACAAAGGACCTGTGCAGTGCGCACATACACACACACACACACACGCATAGAATGAAATAGCGCTGTATTTTCATTTGAATTGTTTAAAATGCCTGCGTTAGAGCTTGCACGCCTCGGGGTTTTTCTGGTGAGTAATTAATTTCCAGCATGTGGGGGTAGAGACCAGAGCTCATGGGCCTGCCTCTTGGCTCCGAATGTCTGTGAGAGTGTGTGTGTGTGTGTGTTGGGGGGGGGAAGGGAGGGAGGCTCTGCGCTGGCTTGGAAACTAGGTACTAGCCTAAGGAGGAGGAGGGAGGGAGAGAAAAAAAACAGGACAGCGCAGAAAATCGATCCAGGGGCCGCTCTTCTCAGCCTCTTCCGGATGCAAGAGTCCTCCTCTCCCGGGAATTAGATAACGGCTTGTAAAAGCTCTCCAGCACCAAGCTCTCCCCCTCCTCGACTTTTAGCTGCTGCTGCATCTCTCTGTCTTCCTGCCTTCCTTTGCACAATTTAGCCTTCATCTTCGTCGCATAACTGCAACATATTAGCCTCTAGTTTAATTGGAATCCGGGTTTCTTCTCATAACAGTGTGGATATTGTGTATTATCTGCAGGTTAATATTTTATTAGCGTCTAATTGGCCTTTGTTGTTTGCCTCAGCGCTGCGTTCTCTCCCAGTTAAGACACTAACGATGCACGCTTTGTGAAATAATAAAAAACAGCAGTGAGCCTCTCCGTTTCTCTTCATGAGTCTGTAGTCACTTTGCCTTTCCCCCCCGCAGGTCTCCTTGGCTGAGGAGATCAAGCCACTGAAGTGGTATCCGTCCGTTTACCTGCTGGTGTCCATCTTTCCCCTCATTAACAGGTAACACAGTCACACCTGTCCAGAGCAGAAAACTTTGATTTGCATGACTGCCTCATTTTGCTACCCCCGCTCAGTCTTACCACTTCTCTCTTTTTCTCTTATCTGAACTCCCGCAAAGCTTTTCTGTTGTATGTATGAGTGTGTGTGTGTGTGTGTGTGTGTGTGTGTGTGTGTGTGTGTGTGTGTGTGTGTGTGTGTGTGTGTGTGTGTGTGTGTGTGTGTGTGTGTGTGTGTGTGTGTGTGTGTGTGTGTGTGTGTGTGTGTGTGTGTGTGTGTGTGTGTGTGAGTGTGTGACAGAGGAATAAAGCATTTTACTGGCTTTTGTAAAACCAGGGTTTCATCAGCTGAGGTTTGGCGGGAGGAGGCGGGTGGTCCGGCAAATGATAACCTCAGCGCTGTTATTACTCACACACACTAACACACCCGCGTGCGCACACAACACACACACTAACCCTCACCAGAACCGGTGTGATTGACAGGTCAGGGTTACTAAGTGATTAGCTGTAGCGGCTCTGCTTGTCGCCACGGCGATGTAGGCGGAGACACAGGTCAATTACAGGGTCAACGTCTTTCAAAAGCTCCAGCTCAAACATCCCCCCCTCCCCCCTCGCCTCCCCCTTTCGCCCCTTTACCCTTCTACTCTCTCTCCGCTCATCTCTCCATCTATTCCAGTCGTCCACTTCCCCCTTCGCCTGCCTGAGCTGTCTGCTGATGAAGATGACAAACTACATCCTGTGCTAACCCCTATCCACCTTCCTGTCCTTCTCTCCCTTCCTTTATACCACTTTCTATTTCCTTTGCCTCCTTGTTATGCTCTGAAAGTCTTTGTTATAGTCCCCCATATATTCACTTCTTTGCACTTCGGCTTTCTATCTCTCTCCTCTGTTTTTACGCCACTCCCTCTTTTTTTTTCCTCCTCCACTTTTCCTCTCCTGAGCCGCACAAAGCCCTCACTCTCCCTCTCCTGAGCAAATACGCTCAGCTCCGCTCTGCCTTTCTCCAGAGAACGAACAAGGAGAGAACGGGAATGAATTGCTCTCTCGTCGTCGTCCTCCTCCTCCTCCTCCTCCTCCGTTCAGCAGCCCTGGCTGTATATATCTCCGGCTCCTATTAATTTGTTAGCCCCCCCTTCTCTCCCCTCCTTCCTCTTTGCCTCATATCCTCCTTCGTCTCTTTCTCGATCTCCCCTTCCTCGCTTCCCTCCCCTCCGCTGGAGTGTGTAAAGTGTTTGTCACGGTGCCGTGCCAATGTTGCTGTGCTCCGCTTCCGCACAGCAGACTGCCGAGAGTGTGTTGCTGGATGCTTGTGTGTGTGTGTGTGTGTGTGTGTGTGTGTGTAAGTGGGTGGCTGGTTTCGTGTCAAGGCGAATGTGCTGTAGCTGCTTGTTGCTGCGTGCGTGTGTGCGCACACTTGTTTGTCCGCCGCGACTGGAGTATGCGTTTCTCTGTGTCTGCCTGAGAACACTCCCGTGTGCTTGTGTGTGCGTATCCTGTGTGTTCATGTGTGTGTGTGTCTGAGTGAGGGATTATTTCTATCTGAGCTCCAAAGCCTCCTAAACAGGGCTTAGAGAGACGGCCCAGGGCAGCAGCTAAAGCCGCTGGGTAGAGCTCTCTCTTTCTCACTCGGCGCCCCGTCTCGATACCATTTCTGCCTGCCCTGATCCATCTCGTTAATACACAGGCACTCCCCCATGCCCACGCGCGCACACACACAAACACACTGTTGTTTTGGCCTTCGTCTGCTGCCACGCTCGCAAACAAACACACACACATACACACACACACACACACACAGTCACACGCCACACGCAATTTTAATCTGTTCCAAATGCTCACTGGTAAATGTGTTAATTCGACACCAGCTGTTGCGAATTGAAATGGGAAAGCGTTCCTTCTTTTTCTCGCCTGCACTTGCACACACACACGCACGGACGAGTCATTATACATCATTTTAGCATGCACGTCTCTGTCTTTTTCTTTCTCACATCCACGCGCTCACTTGCCTTCATTTGGCAACGCAAAAGTAGCACCAGACACCCTCAACTTTGTACTTCTACTTCTTCTTATTCTCCCCTTTCTCCTTTGGCATATTCCTCTTGCTCTCTGCCTCCTCAGCCATGCTCCCTTCTTGTGTGTGTGTGTGTGTGTGTGTGTGTGTGTGTGTGTGTGTGCGTGCGTGCGTGCGTGCGAGCGAGCGAGTGAGCCCGGGCACGACTAGTTTTCACAGTCTGCTTCTCACATCGCCTCCCCTGTGTGCTTTATGGTGTGGGTGTGTGTTTGTTTACAAGCCTTGTCTAGATCCCTACTGTGCGTGCTTGTACGCTTGTTTGCATAAATAAGCCCCTCTCTTCGGAACCTGGCTGCCGATTTCTGTGCCGTGCTGCTACTTGATGTGCAGGCGCTCCTCCCGGACAGCCTTCACGCCTTTTGTTAGGACTTTTGCGCCGCAAAAACACACACTCTCCTCCCTCCTGCTTTCGGATCTACAGGGACAAAAATGTGCCTCTTCATTCATTGCCTGCTTCTCTTTGTCTAGAAGGCCTTCTTCAGTTTTTGGAGCTTGCTGCCTTTGAGCAATCAGGGCTATGCGCCTGAAGGAGGGTGCTTCAGCGTGGATAAATTGGCCCTGGCGGCAGGGCTTGAGCGGGTGATGTGTCTGTAACCTTGAGCTCACCCTGTCACTTCAGGAGGTAACTTGCCTCCTCCTGGTTACTCAGGGTTTGTCTTCGGCGCTGCCTCAAGGTTTCACAGCGTCTGTAGGCCTATGCGGGGATTTATGCATGGGCAGCCTACAGCGTCAACCCTCCCTGCCTTTCTCTAGAGGAGATCTGATTTCCCTGCTCTGAGCGGCGAGCACAAGACAGAGTGTGCACACATCTGTGTGTGCTTCCTTGCGCATCTCTGCTTTTGTGTGCCTGCACACACGCACACTCCGGGCCAGGCAGACCTTCCACATCTCCGTTCTGCGCTTTGAAAAACGAGGGAGGGAATCTCAGAGCAGCAGTTATTATTCATCCCTCAAAGAGAACGGGGAGGAGGCAGAGGAGGGGAGGGAGGGAGGGATGGATGGAGGGAGGAAGACAGAGAAAGCCAAACGGGAGGGGTGAAGGAGGGGTAGAGGGGGATACATTATCTCTTATCTCACTGTATTCGGCATTCTGCATCCCAGGATGAGCTCCCTCTCTCCTACCTCCTCCTGTCCTCTCTCTCTCTCTCTCTCTCTCTCTCTCTCTCTCTCTCCTTACAGTCCCTTCCCTTCGTAGCTTGCCTCTGCGCCTCGAAATATCTAGCATTCAGCGCAACTGGATGTGTGCTTGCACCTCCAAGCCCGTGTAGGCTGGTGTGTGGTTTGCTTTCTGTTGCCTACCATCTTTTATGATATTTTGTTAGCTTGAGCGAGTACGCTGATGCTAAAATGAAACATGCAGGGTTAGAACTTGTCTTTTCTGTCCATGTTCAAGTCCATATGAGACTGGTAGCTTTGGCCTTCTTGTTGAAACCGGGCTTGAGTTTAGAGATGAGTTGCTTTTTCTTAAGATTTTGAAGCAGAATCAAGTCTTTTTTCCTTTGTTTTGATCGCCTTTGTAGCTGCATGACAGTCCTTAAAGGCTCCTACCAGGATTAGGAGTGAATCACTTTAATTTGATAATTTTATAAAACAAACAACAACTAAAAGGAAATGTTTGATCTGTTTTTTTATTCCTTATTTAAATTCAGATAGCGTGAATCGATGCAGTGTCAGATGCCAAGCTCTGGATTTTGGAGCAATAGCATGGCAACATGTAGGCCCAGACCATCTTTGTTGGACAATACTACTCGTGAATGCACCTGCATGTGTGCACTTGTGCTTCGCATTTCCACCAGCGATCAGTGTCTTACTGTGCAGGGACCGAGTGCCGTGTAGCGAGTCGTCTCCGATTAAGCAGCACTGACGCACCACGATCCATCCACATTTAGCGAGAAATGGAGCTGGCCTATAGGGCTGTGTAACGTGTACGTACACACACACACACACACACAGACCGAGATTTATTAACACAGAAAGTGCAGTCGTACACAATAATATGCAAAGCGAATGATTCATGATCACACACATGCACATAAATAATACACGTGTGTTTACACTCCTTCTAAAACTAGAGACTGACCTGTAAGTTTTTATAGAGAAACATGGCAAAAATATATATTCATATAGTAAATGAAAACCAAACATTTCAGGTGCAATGGACTCAAACATGCATGGTACATACATGCAAAGGCTGAAGGAGATACTTGATAACCTCCCCTCACACACACTCAGGCACACAGTCAGCGGCACATGCAAACACAAACAGGCGCGCACCCGCACACACCCTGCTCTCCCTCCCTCTGCTCTTTCAGGCACGTCTTTAAATATTCATCACTCTGGCTGCTCTGAGAGTGCCGTAAACGCTGCCTCACACTCCAGGGAATCGCTAAAGCCTACTCTATCATCTGCTCGCCCTCCCTCCCCTCACTCACTCCCTCTCTCTCACACACACACACACATGCGTGCTCGCACACTCTTAGCCACAGCCGCTCACAAGGATAAACTCATGTGCACAAACACTCGAAGGCACCACTGGTGGCGTCATCGGGCACACAGGCGCATGCAGGTACATGAAGCAGATGTAGGAAACACATTCGGAGACGATGAACGGATTTGTGTGCGTGCGTGTATGTGTGTGTGGGTGTGTGCGTGCGTGTATGTGAGTGTGTGTGTTTACTGACTCCCAGTACAGCAAGTTGAGCAGTGTTGTGTGCCAGGAAACAGGATGTCTCTTTGTTTGGGTTTTATCCTGCTGGTGAATTTTAGCCACTTTTGTTTCCCGAGTCTCTGTGTGCTTCTCCCTCCGTTGCTACGTAATACTGCAAATCCCATGCAGATGTGTGTGTTTGTTTGTATTTTCCCCGAATTCAAATGATTTTGAATGAAATATTCAGGCATGAAGTTAACAAGAGATGCAGACTGTTCATGTGTGG